CCTACTCCAATTACATAAAATTTTAGTGACTGAGCAATTGGCCACCTTCAGAAACAACACCCCTCCCTTGACCAGTGTTGACCTATATTTGGATTATCCTTTTCTAGATTCTATGACAATCGTATCCCTTCAGTTATGTCATTAGGTATGACGTATTTTAATCCCTTTGATGAATGTCAGGATTCATTATAGTCTAGTGGAGAAGCATATCAAATCTTAAATAGACCTAAATTTAGGACATATTTCCAACACTTTGCGTCTGTGTGACATTAAGCAATTTTCTTAGCCTCTGTAAGTCTAATTTTTCCGTCAATCAAATGGAGAAGATACCTTATTTTGAGATTTAACTGGATAATTCATGTAAAGTCCTTTGTGCGTAGTAAGTGTTCAAATGTGACAACTGTTAGTAACTGTATTATTGCACCTGAATGAAATTTGACTTTCTCCCCATTAACCTGGGCATTCTTTCCTTCCAGGATGAACTGGTGAAAGTCTGCATAGACAGTACTTTATGTGTAGCGGTATTGTTTTTGCTTATAAACTATGTACATCGTAAGATTTCAACTTCTAAAATGAAAAAATATAGGAAAAATTAGTAAAATATTAGGTAATAGAGGTAAACTCCTCATTTTACTCCTGGAAACTGAGATTCAGAGACATTAACAAAAGTTGACCCCAAAGCTCATAAGATATGAAGTATTCCAGCAAAGATGATCACAAAGCAAATTTCTCTAAAATAAGTTTTAGGTTTATCTTTCCTATTATTTTAAAAAAACAAGTGAAATAGTTGCATGTTGAAAAAAAATCCCCCAAAGCTTGGAATAGCAAGAGGAATTAAGATAATGTCCTAGCTTGCTGCATGTTAGACATTACAGATTAAAAATGTTTGACAGCACTTAGACACTGAAACAGGTTTGATCCTTAGATTCTTTTTAGCACTTTCTTTGCTGGATTGTCATACCCTTATACTAACTACCTTTCTCTTCACTCTTCCCTCTTTCCCATCTCTGCTTAACATTCGTGAAAAGTGTTCCTTCTAAAAAAATATGAAAATCAAGGAAAATCTGTCCATATCATAAGTCATATGAGGGCCATTTTTGCATGTCCTCTGAAGCCATCTTATCCTCTTATATGACTTTTATTATTATCAATAGAGATAACATGTAATTTAATGTCTCTAGTGCATAACTCTGTCCTAATCCCCAGACCTATATCTCCATTTGCCTACTCCATATCCAGCACTTTGAAGTCATGCAGCCTTTTCAAACTAACACGTCCTAAATGAACTCATTGTTTTGTCCCTACACCAGTTCTAATCCTGTTTTGTCTGTCTCAGTGAACTGCACCACGCTTAACCCAATTGCCCTGTTGGAAACGAAGGTATCATTCTTTGGAGCTTCCTGTCCTCTAGGCTTTCACGTTCAGTCAATTCCCATGTCATGTCCATGCTCCCTGGTCTCTTCATCCTCATACAACCACCCTGTTCAAGCTGCCATCACCTAGCACCCATATTTCTCCAACAGCCTTCAGAGCAGTTCAATCTAGTCTCTGCATTTTAGCCACGGCAGAGTAATATCTCAAAAAGGCAAATCTGATTTTGTCATTCTCCTTATAACCTGTTAGAGTTTCTGATTTCTATTTCAATAATAAAACACAACTTCTTTACATGGCTACCCAATCCTATCAGATTAACTCCTTGCCCAGCCAAATTTTTCTTTGTTATTCACTCCTTTGAGCTGTAGATTTGTGCTATATCCGAGCTTTCAGTTCCCTGAAAGCATCACACGCGTTCAGCCTTTGCACTTGTGAACACACTTCCCTTCACTCTTTGCCAGGTTACTCTGATATTGCCCTCAAATTTCAGCTAAGAAATCATGTTTTCAAAGAAGCTCTTCCTGAAAGAGAAAGATGTTCTTTCCTCAGCAGAGCACTTATTACATTTATTTTATGCTTGCCTGTTCACTTATCTGTGTACCCCCCGAGTCTGAAAAGTCCATGAGTTCAGAGCTCGTGTCCCCTTGCTGCCATTGCACTGAGAAATATGTGAGGACACAGGTGCTTAACTCATATTTTTAATGAATAGATGTATGAATGAGTGAATTTTTGATTCTTAAAAACTATGTGCTGAAGAAAGGAATAAATATTTACTAAACTGCAATGTGACACTATCCAGAGATTCCATCTCTTGATTTACTCCACTAGGGGATCTTTAAAGTGGCAAGTTCCTTCTTCCAAAGCTAAATTTGTACTGTACTTTATTAAGTTAAATTTTTATGTTGTAAATTTATTTAAAGTAGAGCATACCACTGTATTTGCTTATAGTTAATCGTGTACTTTCTGGTGAAGTTTTATGTTTGTGAGTCTGTTCAGTGTACATTTGCCTTGTTCCCTTCATTACAATGAAAGCTTTCTGAGCGTAGGGATTATTTATTTGCTTTGTTTTATTTTATCCTTAGAAAACTTGTGGTGCTTCCCACAGTGTAAGATGTTAGTGAGACCTGAGTGATTAAAAAATAAAATAAAAAGTTAGAAGTGGAAGGGAAAGGACAAATGGGAGAAAACAGAGAGGTATACACAGGACTTCTGATCTATTAAACGGGGGCTGGGTGATTGCTGGTAACATTCCTGACAAACTCCTGGTCCAGTGTTTGCATGGTACTCTTAATGCCTTAAAATCAAAGCCTGTGGCATCCAAATTCCCCAGTCCTCTTCTGGGGTGAAAAGCTTCTAAGAGCTTTGGCTCCCCCACTCCTAATACCTCTTTAGCGGTCTACACCAGGGAACTGTAATGCTCAAATGAAACACTGATGCTAATAAAGGACTTAACAAATATTATGTAGTAGTAGATACTGTACTTATGGTTCCACAAACTTGTCACCACTAGGCACTTGTTCTAGAGGCAGAGTGACAGTATGGAAAGGTCAAATATGGGGCTCCGATAATACTAACTTTGCCACATACTGGCTTTGTAAATTCAAGTCAATCACTTGGCCTCTCTCAGCCTTGTCATACGTAAAAGAATGACATCACCCTTTACTCTTGAAAAGATCTAGCAATGCACAAGTGAAAATACCTGGCACTTAATAAATAATAGTTTCTTTCTGAACCTTTATTTTTTTCCCATGTGCATCTTGTAACAATCCATATGGAAAAAATTTTTTGGCAACAAAACAAACTGAACCAAAGTAATCATTAAATGTATTTTCTATTTTAAAATTAAAGCTCTATCTTTCTATCTATATTAATAAAAACAGAGATATCTAGATAGCAGATAGGTGTTCAGGGTGGGCTATTAATTATGTTCTGGCTGACACTCAAAATATTGGCTTTTTCTCTGAGATCAACTGAATTTAAAATAAAATTTCTGTATATTTAAATACAAAATAGAATTTCCTATTAAACTAGTCAACTAAAGCTACCGGACATTGTCTAAGTTTAAGGTAGAAGTAAGACTTTCTTCAAATCCCTCTTGATAAAATCATTTCTAATTTTCATTACTTCTCAGTAAAAAACAGACATTATTATATATTTCACAGGATTGTTCAGAGCATAATGTACAAAGGACCCAGCGCTGGGCTTGGAACAGAGTATGAGCTCACAAGACACGTTAAAGCCTTTTTAACTTAACTGTCACTTAATCCTCAAAGCACTTCCCGGGTAGGTAATTTTTCACTTCCTGAGTTTTCAGATGATTTCAAATGAGTCTTCTGACTCTCTTCCAGTTTGTGAACCAAAAGATTCATCCACCGAGTTTGTTCCTCTTTTTATCTACCATGAGGAAAATTCAAGACGGACAGAAAAATATTCAAGTCCTGGGGTCCCATCTCTCAGTTTACCGCTCTCACTTTCATTACAAGATTACTCACGGTCTTTCCTCTTATTCTCTTTTCTCACAAGAAAGCACACACTGTTTTTTTTGAACTGTGATGATTAAGACCCTTTTGCTCCTTTTTCTGCTCAGAAAGAGGGATTATTTTATGGTAATTAGGTTTCCCTCAGGAAGAGTAGTCTAGGATAAACCCTCCCCCTTTTTGGAAGCCTGTTGGACTCAATTTTCCATATATTTATTACCTTCCTCGTTCGTTTAATAGCCTCGTCTGATGGGTTTCTTTGTTAAACGAGTTCAAACACGGAGATTAATTACAAAATAGAAGCTTTTGCAATCAAAGCAAAACAAACAAACAAAAAGATAAATTGTCTATTAAAATTGCTTCTTCACCAGGAAATTTTTAAAGTTTAATCACCTAATGATAAATGGTGTTGTAAAAGAAACTACACAGGTGAAAACACATAGGTGTGACTTTGCTCTTTGAAAACACTAAATCATGAAAGACAAATTGATTGATGCAGCCAACTTAGATCTTAATCGCACTATAAAATCAAGCGTAAGATAAATGTGCATGTGGAAATTCTTTTGCACTCTCATCTTTCTGTTTAGAAGGTTGTGCCTAACGTTGGTGCGCCTGGTAGGAGGAATAATTTTCGGGTAGATTAGTACTTACCATCGTCTTTGTCAGGGATGATTGTAACCTGAGCCCCTGGGAACTCTGATCCAATTCTCCCACCCGTCGGCATGCTCAGGAGAACGTGGAATGTTTCCTTTTCCTCATACAAGGAGTCGTCAATTATAACGACCCGGCACATTTTTTCCCGCTCGTCTTTGTCAAAGCGGATAACACTCGTGTGGTCCTCGGGCCGGGATATGTAATCAGAATAGGACAGCACTGATGTTGGCACAGTTCCTCTTGCCGTTCCTGGAAACAGAGAGAATCCAGAAGGGGTTTATGTAGAACATACTACAAGGGTACCTCCAGAAACGATTATTTTCATATGCAGCATTTTCACGGTCCATCGTATCTATGAACACTCCTGGAAACTGCAATAACTCCTCCATACTGTGCTAGCATCATGGGTCACCTTTATAATGGTCTCCAACGTCTGACAAATAGTACATTTCAAGTGTTTTCTCCTCTGCTTCCTGCCAGTGGTCTTTTAAAACAACACAATAATACAGAATAATAGCTTAGTATTCAAATGCTTACTGTGCGCAGGCAAAGTGCCAAGCGCTCTACATGCATTGCTTCCGTAATCCTCTTAACCACCCTACTGGGCTTTACACGTTTGGTAACTGAGGTTTACAGAAGTCCAACCACTTGTTCTGGGACCCAGAGCTCAAGGTTGATCCTGAAATTTGCATTTGGACCGGGATTCTTTACTGCCTTTCAACTCACATATGTTAATGAAAATTTTAATGAAAGTCTGCAGTGTCAACTGCATTTATGACCTTTTCTTTTACATTCTTAGAAAAGTCTACCTGTTTCCTAGAAAGGTATTTAGTATATTAATGAGTATTATGTATTAATTTTAATTAATTTTAATTTTGTATTGCATAAAATCACCTTTCGGAGGGTGCTTACTCATTGAGCAAAACAAATGTTTTGAAATTTGGTTGCTACGAGTTTCAGACCAGTTTGAAGTTAGTTTCTTTTCCTTGGGTAGGCATTTCTTTGCCTCTTTTTCTGTTGTTGTTTTTAACCATAACCCCCTTCTACTTGAGCAGGCTTGAGCGGGAGAGGGGAGCTTCAACTTCTTACAACCCCAAAGGCCTTGAGTATTCAAGCAACCAAATGAATCAGAAATGTTTTCAATAAGCAGCAGAGTCCTTCCAGGTCCTCAAAGGTGCCATAGTGAAGGAAGACGTCCGCCTGCATGCTCTTTTCCTATTTGAAAACTGGACTAGTAAAGTATAACCTTCGTGGCATAATGTTATGCCTCCAACATGTTAAAGAGGCTTATCTATATCTTCGCGGGGACATTTTAGTTCACTCGCAAATCGAGCTACCTTGCCGCGTGTAACAGATCACCATCAACTCCCGGCTCACATCTCCACTTCTCCTGATGGGAATGAGAAGATCACCAATGTCCTCCTCGATGGAGTATTCAGACTGGGGGATGAATACAGTTGATTCTAAGGAGAAAACACAATTGTTTTTGTCTGAGCGTCTTACATATGACATAATCCTGTGCAAATTAATTGCTCTCATGATTGATCATTTCCCCTGGCATATTCTTTTAGAATGGCGCAGTGTGAGGGGAAGGAGGGAAGACAGGGGGGAAGAAGCAGGTATAGAGTGTGTAGGCTCCGGGCTACTGAATTCTTAACCGAGAAATAAAACCCAACATTGCTTTTATCTCCAGTAACTGCTTTTTTTTTTTTTCTCAATTAATAAGTACTGACACACTTCCTTTAAATCCAACTTTGTTCTCTCGGGGAAGATCTCCACCTTCTGTTGGAGTAGTTGACTTTTAGACTTAGAAGAGGCCTCAGAAGTCATCTTGTCTCACCTCTTACTTTGATGAGGAAACTTGGACCCACAGAGTTGAAATTATTTGTCAAGGACTCTTACTGGTCGAGTCAGGATTACAACTCAGATCTTGTAATGTCCACTCTATTATTATTTTTTTTAACCCCAAACGTGTTCCTTTTGAATGATTAAAAGTACATACAATGGATTATTACTCAGCCATAAAAAGAAACGAAATTGAGTTATTTGTAGTGAGGTGGATGGACCTAGAGTCTGTCATACAGAGTGAAGTAAGTCAGAAAGAGAAAAACAAATACCGTATACTAACACATGTAGATGGAATCTAAAAAAAAAAAATGGTTCTGAAGAACCTAGGGGCAGGACAGGAATAAAGATGCAGACGTAAAGAATGGACTTGAGGACACGGAGAGGGGGAAGGGTAAGCTGGGATGAAGTGAGAGAGTGGCATGGACTTATATATACACTACCAAATGTAAAACAGATAGCTAGTGGGAAGCAGCCTCATAGCACAGGGAGATCAGCTCGGTGCTTTGTGACCACCTAGAGGGGTGGGATTGGGAGGGTGGGAGGGAGACACAAAAGGGAGGGGATATGGGGATATATGTATATGTATAGCTGATTCACTTTGTTATACAGCAGAAACTAACACACCTTTGCAAAGCAATTATACTCCAATAAAGATGTGAAAAAATAAAAAAAATGAATAAATAAAAGTATAATAATGCATTGTTTGACACTTGGTGTTTTTGTTTGTTTATTGTGTTTTAAACAGCAGTCCCTTTAGAATTTAGAAATCTATCACTGTAAGGGACACATGTGTGGTTTCCCTCCTCCTCTGGAGGAATAACAATAGCACAGTGTACACATTATACTTATATAATACTGTGAGTCTCAATGATTCATTTTTAGGGTAGCACAAAGGTACACTAAATAATAAAAATGGCATATAATTAAATTGTTGAAAATCATGGTTCAATGTAAAACTACATTTAGTTCAATAGAACGTTTAGTTCAACAGTTTGACATGATAACCCTCAAATACATACTTTGCAAGTTGCCTGGGAGTCTGTTTCACTGAAAGTCCCACACACACACACGGAAAATGTTTCATGATTATTTTTAAAACAGTAAGCCACACTGCTTTGGATGATTATAAAAGACGCTGGAATAGTGGACGCTGGCCGTCAAGGTCCACGTACCACCCCTCTCCACCCTGCCCTGTGCTCCAGGGGCTGACTAATGAGAACCATATCAAAGGTTTCCCTTGTGTTCTGGCTCTGGCTGAGTCAGTCAGAGGGCAGCACAGGCAGGACTTGGAGGGTGAGAGCAATGTGGGGTCAGCATTCGTCCCCCTGGCTCCCCTCAAGGTTCCAGAGCTGTCTGTACCCCACCAAGTAAAGGTCATCGTGCCCACTGGCCGCCCTATCTCACTCACTGGTCCAGCTAACTTCTCCTTCCCTTTCCCCCCCGAGGCCTAGAGGTGGTGATGGTATCCGCTCTTACCAGCCTTGGGGCACTTAACTAAACCTGGTGGTTTCCCAATTCTCGGCCTCACCTTTGCAAAAGTCATGTTATTAAATTATTTTAAATTTGCTAATTTTGAATGTGCCATTTGTTTTCTCCTGGGACTCTGATACAGCAATTGAAAAAATGGCACCATTAAAAAAATCTGTGGGTGTAAGATTTTATAACTAATTATTCATTTATCAAACATTGATTGGGTGACTCCTTCTTGCCAGACACTGAACCAGGCACAGGAGCCATGGAGGTAAACAAAATCCCTGGTCTTATGGAGTTTTCTTTCTAGTTGGGGGCGTGGAGAGGAGGAAGAAAATAAACACATATTCAAGAAAATATACGATATGCCAGGAGGTGACAAATGATATGAAAAAGATGGAGTGTGCCGGCGGGGATGCAGGGGGGCACGGGGGGTGTAGGGTGGAGGGAGGGCTGGGGCATGGTATGCGCCGCGGCAGGTCTGTATCATACAGGAAAGTGTCTGTGATAGAGTTACATTTGAGCTGAGATGGCAAGGTGGTAATGAGTTACCCTATGTGCGTAACTTAGGGAAGAGAATTCCTGGCAAAGGGAATGAACAAGTGTATATACTTCAGGCCAGGTATATGCCTGAAGGAATGGCCAGGACGCCATTGTGGTTTGATGGTCTGAGTAAACTGGGCAAGGAGGAGGGAACAGAACATGCGCCGGTGAAGTGATGGTGAGTGGGGGTGAGTGGATCGCACGGAGCTTTCAGGACCACTGGCAGGACTTTGGTTTTTACTCAGAGCAAGATACTGTGGAAATATACAAGGACCAGGCAGTGGGATGAAACAAGCAAAGGCTATTTATTCAGCCACCATCACTTGTATTTGGCTGAGACCCAAAGGCAGGCAGAGGAGTGGGAAAGTTTTACAGTGGAATAAAACTTATGGTTACCAAAGAGGAAAGGTGGGGAGCTTGGAGTTTGGGATTAACAGATACACGATACTATATACACCGAGAGACAAAACAAGGGTGATATTATAGAAACAGTAAACTCTCTAATAAGGCAATAGAGACACAGAAAAAAAATGACTGCAGGGACATCCTCTCAGTGTAAACAGTGGTTATCTTCACGTGGCAGGACAAGTGACTTTTATTTCTTTAAATCTCTCAATTTTTGACAATGAACATGTGTTACTTTTATATTTTCAGATTGGTTTCATTATTCTTTGTTTTGAAAGATAAAGCCGAATAAAGTGAATGCATGCTTTATTAGTCAATGTGACTGTATTGAAAGGAGTACTTTGATTTATCTAATGGCAATTTTTACTTTTAGGTTTTGACTGTGCTGTAACTTAGGCAAAAAAATGACTTCTGTTCTCAGAAATAAAATAGTTGTAGCTACATTTGAAAGATGTCCTTTTCTCAATTATACTGAGTGGATTACAAAAACACCAGACTCTGCTAAAAACATAATAGAAAAAATATCTCCTAAAAATCTTTCCTATAACAGAACAAAGAAGGGAAAGAAAATGCAGTGCCTAGATGAAGGCCCTGAGTGTTCATCATCTTTAAAAAGTTTGGCAAATTCAAAAACAACTCAGAAGATATTCTGGGACATCTTCAGGCTACTCTGGTGCCCTCAGACTAGCCAACAAATGGTACTTAGTGTGGAGTCTGCCACTGGTGTTTGAACATCAGTGGAAAGCTTTCTAACATTTCAATGGTTTGTTGTGTTTTGTTTTAACTCTGAAATAGATATGGTAATATAGACTAATTTAACAGGAACTTGAAAGAACAGAACACTGAAAACATATCTAAGTCACATGACAATAAGTGTTACAAGTTCACATCAGGATACCATGAGGTCCAAAAATTATTCTGAAGCACTATGCTAATACTTTGGTTAGAGTGAATCTCTGAGTAATCTTTGTTCATATCATTCAATGTTTTTATTTTGTGAATGTAGAAAATTTTGGAAAGTTTTCCACCACCGAAATAGTTTTATTTTGCACCACCTTTTTCCTTATCTACCTTTTTGGGGCCAAAAATGTACAAATGTGTACTTGTTCTTTGAACAAGTGTTTAATATTTTTTTCTTTCTCTTAAGACAATGACCCATGCTGCACAGCAATAGAGTTCAAAACGAAGAAAGGTTTGACACTCACTGAAATTGAAGCTCTTGCATGCTTTATCATTTTGGTGTCATCAGCTGCAACTATCATTTCATTAATTCTGGACCTTCTGTTTTAGCACACTCATGTCAAAATATCAGCTAGCCAGTGATCTCTTTATGTCAACATTTCCGATGGTACAAAATTTTAAAAGTAATAATATTTGAATTTCATATAGTAGTCAGCCTATGTCATCTGAATTCTACCTCATGAAATGGGTTTGGTTCACTCGGCACACAAAAGTTTGCCTTTTCTTTGTCTCCGATAAGATTAGGGTTCTTGAGATATAAGCTCTACTTTCCTCTAGAATAGTATGTTTATTCTCTACTATATATTATATAGTATTAACCTAAACTGGTCCCGCCAAAAACGATTAGAGATCATATATTTTAATCCACTAGTTCATGGCTATGTTTTGACATCATTAAAATATCAGAATGAGTCCATTTCAATCAGAAGTTTGTAGACACTTCAAGTGTACAAACTAAACAATTGCATAAAATACTTACAGGCTTCAGATATCTATGTTAGGTATCTGTACTCAAATACCTATATTTAAGGTTGTGTTCTCTTAATAAAGTTCATAAAAGTCATTTTACTGGTTAGAAATGACACACAGTAAAAAAGGAAAGGGATAGTTATATGAAACAAAAGTTTTGGTTCTTCAAATATTCCTCTTCCCAGAAATTAAAGTGTTTTATATTAATTAATACCTATATGCTTCTAAGAGTGAGGAAAGATGGTGTAACTTCTCACGGTTAGGGAACCTAATATGCAGAAAGTTAAGAATCTTCATCCCAGGTTAGATACTTCTGTGGACACCGTGATTGCTCCCCTTATCATAACACATAGCACCTGTATTGTTAAGTGTAACAATTTAGTGGAATGTAATCACCGAGTGATATGATGCTTTAGGGTCACTGTGCGTTCTTCACTCGGGCATATATCCCTAGCTCTTAGCAGAATTCCTGGCATATAGCAGATGCTCAATAAACATTTGTTGAACACACAGATACATCATGCGAGGGCTAAAGTGGTCTTGATTATTTTCCTAGAACAATTGCTTTTATTCACCTATACTCATATATTTGAGGCTTGATGTATAAAGACAAAAGATAATAAAATAAGAATAAAAGGAATTACTCTTTTTTATATAGAAGAATAGGTGAAACAATGTTGTTATGGCAAAATATACTCTTTAATTATGATTTTGGATATTATTTCATTATTTCTTCATGTGAAATGACAGGCAACTGTATAACTCAGGAAAGAAAAGAGCTTTGGAGGAAATATATGTGTGTATATATATTTGTCTGTTCAAACACTGGCTCTGGCACTTATTAGCTGGGGGACTTTAGGAAAATAAATTCTTTTAGCCTCAGAGATTTCATTTGGAAATTGATATATACATTGCAGAGTTGTAAACATAAGGTTGGAATGAGATAAGGTTGTAAAGGTCCTAATGCAGTGTCTGGCTCACAGTGGGCACTCCAGTATGGTAGAGATTGGTATGATGATTATTATCAAACCCTTTGCCTAAGGAATAAACCTTTCGGACTTCTCTGAGTTGGGTTAGAAAACAGGGCAGGAGGAATAACAGTGATCTGAAATTTCCTCAAAGCCCTTCTTGTCTTATGGAAATCTGCTGTCTGCTTTTGATCACAATCCAGCCTAGTGGCAGCGGATCTTTTAACAGAAGACAACTGTTACCATTCAATGGAATTTCGCAGAGGAGTGCCCATCCCCTGAAATGAAATGTAATTTCACCCATCTCTGCCGATTCTAAAAGAAAACCAAATAAAACAGCTTTCAAGTGGTTGACTTAGGCAGAGGCTAAAAGGTAGCCCAATTTCTTGGGTTCCTCATCCAGAAAAGGAGTTAAACATTTCATGCACTTACCCTCCCAGCTGGAACTTTCTATGGGCATATGCAAAAGATGGAGATTGTGGAATCAAAGTGAAACAAGGGAGGACAGCAAAGTGACAGAGGAGGATGAAGGAGAGAAGTAAAAATCGTAACAGTAGCAGATTTTCCACGGGTGTGCACCCTGAGGCTGCAAAAACACCTGGAGGCGTAGAGGGTGTGACACAGAGAGGCTTACCTCTCTGCTCCGCAGTCTGTTCTCTGCTTATTTTAGTTTTTCTCTTTGTACCCCAGGCTTCAATTGATGAGGAAATTGAATTTATTGATTTACTTAATCAATGACTAAACCCATTTGCCTAGGAAGTTATTGATTTCCATAATCGTGGCAGAATGCTGTATTCCCTCTCTGTGCTCCAAAAGTATTTTGTTGAATAGTACCAAAAGCTCCCTTTCAGTCTCTACTTATATGCAACAAAATAAGTCTGTTCTGGACAAAAATGTGGGCTTCCAAAGCCCCATCTGATAGTTGAACTGCGCTCGGGTGGCCCCTCCCGGATGGGCAGGGGCAGGTCCCAGCATGGCTGTGAGATCTGTGTGTGGCCATTTGGGAGCTTTGGTTCCATTCTACCCATGGCCAGTCCAGGGCTGTGAGGGAGGGTGATGGGGTGCACTTGCACCAGGCTCTCACTGGTGTCTGCCTCTCGAGCCAGGCTGCACTCTTGCACAGATGATGCAGGAAAACACAACGACTGCACCAATCTTTAGAGAGGAGTCAACTTTATTGATTATAGATAGAGCCATGGTGCCCAATCAGAGAGTCACAGACATCTGGAGGCATGAGAAGCATTACAGAGCATCCATATGGGCACTGACTGTTGAGTCGAGTTAAATAAATAAACACCTAAGGGTGTTTGTTATTTTTGCGGTAGACGTAGATACTCATTTATTGAATAAAGTCAGAGTCATTAAAAAGCTTTACCTGAGCCATGACTATGTAATTTAAAAACATAAATCGAGGGAGAGTATTATAAGAGTATAATTATGAACATGTGAGAATCCATGATGTATGTATGTATGTATATGTGTGTGTGTGCGTGTGTAGAAAGCTTATGTTCATAAGTTTTTTTGTCATAAAATTTGGGACCAAATGTTCTAAAATTTGTCTCATGTGAAATTGAGAGCATCCTATAAACATCAAGTTAAATGGTACATATGACTGAAAGGTAGTGAGGTAAAGGAGTGAATGAAAGAATGTGTATAATGTGTTAAGTACACTGTCTGGCACACGGCAGGTGCTCGATGAATTTCAGTTATTATCGTTATCAGTACCAGTTACTGGTAAGTAAAGTACTGGCAAAAGTGTGTACTTGCATGTGTTTATATAAACTGGCTAATAAGTAAAAGCAGTTCCCAGCCTAAGATAAATCAGAGTTGATTATTCCCCCTCTTGTTCCCGTAACACTCTGCTCATTCTTTGTTGTGTTGATAACTACATCACATTCTGCCACCGTAACTTATTTACAGGGCTCTGTTTCCCGTTAGACCATATGCTCTTTGATAGAAGGGACTGCATCCTATTATCTTTGCATCCCCAATACATAGTGCTGTCCCCAGCAGAAGTGTGAGCTGGATACATTTTTAATACATGCAAAAAAAATCTCATAACATGTCCTAGAGTTAATATGCAGCAGAGGGAGAGCTTATAGGCACAGTGGTTCCTAGAGCTAGTGAATTCACACGTGACGAGTTACAAACGAGTGTAGAAAGAAATAATCAAAATTCTGAAATGGTTGGGAAAGTGATCCTTTGTGGAAAGAAAAAAGGTTATTTAATCTCTTAATATGAAATCTAACATTGAAAATAATAGACAATATATATAAATGGCAAAAAAATAACAACAAAAAATCTAACATTGTATTTATGCTATTAGAAATAACAACAATATCTGTATTTTGCTTTATGCTGTATGGAACTCTTTCATAAGAATGCTGCCACATGAGAATAATTAATTTTCCTTGTTGTGTGCATTAGGAAACTAAATCTTCATAAAAGCCATTTGATTCGATGTTAGATCTCATACAACTATAAATTGTAGAGTTGGGAAACAAACCCATGTCTTATAATTTCAAGACCACTGATGTTCAACAAGACATGGACTATATTAGGCATCTGCTATACCAGCACACTTGTCAGCCATCATAGGGATGATCATGGCCTGGGATGAATAGGGCTGAACTTCATCTAGAAAATGCCAAGACAACTCAGGTGACCATTACATAAAATAAAATTGTGGCAAATTTTAATTTGGTAGCCTTCAAGAGTATAGATTATATAAGGAGTGTGTGTGTGTGTGTGTGTGTGTGTGTGTGTATTGTGTGTATTTGTTTTTAAAATCCCACTTCTCAGATTTATTACGGATAGGGAGTATTGTGTGTCGCTCTGGGCTTATAAATAGGAAGGCACAAATGAGTTTAAGTGTCCTATTCCTGAGGTCAAGTATGGCAATTATACCAATGGGCAAATAAAACATCAAGAAATGGCTTCAAACAAACTGTAACTAATGGGCCAGTTTATATGTATTAAAGCTGTCATGGGCTTTTTCAAAAGAGAGAAAAGCTTCATGATGCTAGCACTTACCCCAAACTCAGGACTAGAAGAAAATTTAATTGTTTATTCCTAGATAATGCAGATAAAATTAAATGTAATTAAATGCTAATTAACATTTCCGTTCTGTTCTTTAACGGAAACGATAAACATAACTGAAACTCATATGCAACTAAAGGCAGAGATGTTAGTTAAACAAACAGAGCCGGAGCTCCGGTTCTCTTATCCTCTCTCCTTAATTATGCTCAGTTGTTAAACCCAGAGATTTCCACATATGTCTCCGTTTCACGTACTCAGTAGATTGTATCTTCACAGAACATTTAAGAGTTTTCTGACTAACGAAATAAATAGGCTGGCGGTTTAAAAGAAAGTCACGTCTGTCTTCTGACAGGATTTCAGCTTTAGAGGAGGCTCACCAAGCTTTGTATAAATGCCAGCCCTCAAAAGGCCAATTCAACCTTTTTTTTTTTTCCTGGCTGCACCGAGACAAGTCAGGACTGGAGGAGTATGGCAGGGGAGGGAAAGGTCAATTTACACTCAAATCAGTAAGGTGCATTTTAACCAACATCAGCTAAGGGTGTGCATTGACAACAAAACATGATCTAATAGAAATTAAGAGCAATGATGCAAGATATTTTTCACCAAGGAGAGGGGGTGGGTTGGTGGGTATTATGTAACAAATGTGGAAACATATGGCAGAATGAAAAGTTTTGGCTGGTGAATATATGAAGAAATTTGAATAAAGTGTTATATGGAGAACAAATTAATCCCCAAATGGTCTAATTCTTAAAGCATTTGTTTAAAGGACATTTTAAAACACATTTAAAAGACTTTAAAAAGTCATGAAATAATTCTAGAAAAATGAGATGAGCGACGTCGGTTCTAAAGGATAAAATTATAATAAGAGAAAGAATATATTGATAATCCTATGTGTATTTGTAGTTCATTGACTTGAAAAAATATCGCTTCCTTTCATTAATTTTTGGGTTCTCTCTCCCATCAGCGTATCTGCGAATACTGAACCATTCATCTAGAAAGTTCTCTCTATGGAAAATCCAAACGTTGAATTTAAAACCTCCTTTATAAGGTGTTTTGTCATAAAAACCCAACAGTGACAACACCACTGAGTTGATGGTGGCTCTTACCGTCTCCTGGGTCCACGATCTCCACTGTGGTCACTGCAGGGAATTCCAGGGCAGCCAGCACGGGCTCTGAGAGAACCACCTGGAAGGTCTCGGCCCGTTCATGTTCCCCGTCACTCAGGATCCGCACTCTCCACGTGGCCCGGGTCTGGCCTGGGTTGAACTGCACTTGTTTCTGTGCTTTGCCCTTGAAGTCTTTGTCTTTTTTTGCAGTCCCATCTCTTGAGCCAATACCTTCACAGAAACACAATATCATTTCCTTTGTTTCATTTTCAACTAGGTTATTAAGGCTTTCCCTGTTGTTAACTTTTTGCGTGTCATTGTATCCTGCAGTGCAAAGTAAATCCTGCCTTGATTCCATGAAATGGATAATTGGGTATGGGTCTTACAGTAAAAGTGTTCTACTGTAGGTGTTAAGCAGTCCAGGATTCTGTTCTACTCTTGCCCCATTATGGTTTTGCTATATATTCTTTGAGCTAAGTTTGTGTTAGAACCGCTTGTAAAACAGGACCGAGGAAATCGATGCTCACATTCTGAAATAGTCTCACACCCACAAATTCGTACGATCTAAAAACTCCTCACATTTACTTTTTTGCATGGGTTGTATTGCATGTGTTATATTTCAAAAACTTAAGAAAAATTCTCTAACTAGAAAATATAAGCCAGCAAGAGACTCTGTGAGTCAAAGAATTCTTTGATAATCTAAGCTGTAAATGACCAAGCATGATAATAAAACATTATAATATTCTCTAAACAATTAATGGAACTAGGACCCTTAAAAAATCGAATTCAGTGTTTGTCAACATGACTATTGCCAGGTTTTTCTTTGTGGAGCATTCCAGAATTCCACGAAGCCACGCGAAGAGAATTGGAGAGCTAAATATATATGGTTATTATGGGCAGTACTCTGTTGGTTCACTCAAGGTCCATTTCAGTTAGGTGGGAAGGTTAAAGGATCCCTGAGTCTCTAAGTACATTACAAGAGCATCTTTATTTGCCATTACTATGCCACATACTCAAATCATAAGATATATGATCTATAAAGCAATGAGTAAGAGTCAACAAATTCAACATCACAGAAAAATTACAAAATTGCAGTTAGTACTTGTTCTCGTATATTTTCAAGTACTGATCAGAACCTCTTAATGATACAAGTTAATGGAATAATTTTCAAATATATTCCTTTAAACGTTGGCATTTTCAAAAAAAAAGTGTCATGAAGAATCTAGGGGTAAGACGGGAATAAAGACACAGACCTACTAGAGCATGGACTTGAAGATATGGGGAGGGGGAAGGGTAAGCTGGGACGAAGTGAGAGAGTGGCATGGACATATATACACTACCAAACGTAAAACGGATAGCTAGGGGGAAGCAGCCGCATAGCACAGGGAGATCAGCTCGGTGCTTTGTGACCACCTAGAGGGGTGGGATAGGGAGGGTGGGAGGGAGGGAGACGCAAGAGGGAAGAGATATGGGAACATATGTATGTGTATAACTGATTCACTTTGTTATAAAGCAGAAACTAACACACCATTGTAAAGCAATTATACTCCAATAAAGATGTAAAAAAAAAAAAATTGGCATTTTCAGAGAAGTTGGTAGAAAGATTTAAAAAGAGAAAAATAAAATCCTGTGCCTACTAGAATTTAAAAGTCTGAAAATAAATTCTTTGTACCATTTCTCACTTAACTGAAAAAAATTATCTTAGTTTCAGAAAATGCCCTTTTGTTCTTCCAACTAGAAATGAAACTGGACCAAGTAAGATCCATTCAACCACAAATGTTCATTGGGCACCTACTATGAGCCAGACAGAACAGATAAAACCTCTGTCCTGTGGTGCTTATGCAAGATTTATTTGGTTTTTTTTTTCAGGTTCTCATTAGTTATCTATTTTATACCTAGAATCAACAGTGTATATATGTCAATCCCAATCTCCCAATTCATCCCACCCTGCAAGATTAATTTAAATATTTATTTCTTCATCTGAATATATCACTATTTCATCTTAAAATGAAGATGAAGATAAATATTTCACTAAACTATTTCTGTCTTATAGATCTCAGAAATATTCCATTTTTTTCAATAGGAGGTGAAGCATAATTTACTGAATGGCAAGAGAATAAAGGACACAAAACCAGGAATTTCAGCACTACGTATCTTGTTGAGCATTGCAGACTTCCTGTTAGCTCTCTGGTTCCTAATGCTCACAGAGTGGCTGTCAACACCTCTTGGATCCACCACAATTCACTGCCAAGGTGATGATGAAAGGAATCATTCTCTCTGAGGTTCCAGCACACGCGCAGCTCATTGACCCATTTATCCCCAGTGGTACGACCAGCAAAAGAATCTATTATTCGGACTCTGATAGCTACTGCCCACTTTTCTGATTTGTTTTGTTTCATCAACAATGAATTATTTTCCTGGAGATTCAAAAGGCAGTGAGAAACCAAAAGGATTCCGTATAATACAAGGAGTGTCCACTAGTTCCAACTAGTCATACTTCTAGCTGATAATCAAATCATCCAACCTAAATAAAAAATAAGTTGCAAATCTCAGTTGTTTCTGTAATTTTGTGGTGGATTTTGAAAGAGATTCCCAACTGAATGTGAAGTATAGATAGACAATATCATTGATTCGTCAGGTGACGAGGAATGCAGTTCTATTTTATGAAAAAGATTGTCTTAAATTGTTTGGTATGTTTCTCAAACATGAGAAAACAACGAAGGGCATGTCATCTTTTTTAAAAGGTACAATAAGACCATGATGGAATATTAAATTTACTTGGGGTCAAAAATAAAGATTCCCTTTTCATATGTAACACATAGTACCTATTCTAAGTGCAGGGCTAGTCTACTTTGTTACTAAAAATGTGGTCCATGGGCCAGCAGCATGGACCAGATCTGGACGCTTGTTAGAAATGCAGAATTTCAAACCCTACCCCAGACCTATTCAATCAGAACCAACATTTTAGCAAGATCCCCATGTAAGTCTTATGTGCATTAAGATCTGAGGGTGGGTAGATACATACTAAATACATCATATCTCCACGAGGCACTCTTACATAGGTGCCCAATTTTAATAAAGGATGAAGAAATGGTGTATAGATTGTGAAGGAGACAGATTAGATCATACTTTAATGTGGTAGACAAGACAGTCACACACTCAATGTTCGAAAATTTTGCTCTTACTTGGAGATACAAATATTCAGCTAGTAAACCATACATATTACAAAAATATTATTATATGGGGCAAAAAGAATTCTGGAAATTAAAAGGCTTATAATTTGGGCTTAAATTTATGCTTCTTTTTTCAAAGATAATTATTAAACCAAACATATTACTTTGACTTACTAAATGAAACTACAATTGCATCTTTTCCTGTGGCATGGAAGAATGGTATGGGGGTTAAGCAAGGTACTTTGGAATGAGAGGTTAGCTTCAATCCTACCTCTGCCACATAGCGGCTATGAAATCATAGGCAAGTTAACTTCCTCGGTTGCACAGGATTTAAGCGCTGTGGGGTGGTAGTTAAGAAAATCTGCCCTGGAGCCAAATCTCACTTCTGGCCTTAGTAGCTATGTAACTTTGGGGATATGACAACCTTTCTGTTTCCTTACCTGTAATAAAGGGGGATATAATGACCCACTTTTCTTGGGGTTGAGTATGTAAGGTGTTGAGAACCAGGGCTGGCCTGTAATAATAACTCAATAAATTAGCTATCATTATTATCACCTCACAGTCCGTTACCTAACACAGTGTCTGGCACGTAACAAGCACTCAAGAAAATACTAGTTGAGTTAGTGAATAAAAGATTGTAAAGAGGGTTTCCCTGTTGGCGCAGTGGTTAAGAATCCGCCTGCCAGTGCAGGGGACACAGGTTCGAGCCCTGGTCCGGGAAGATCCCACACGCCGCGGAGCAACTAAGCCCGTGCACCACAACTACTGAGCCTGCACTCTAGAGCCCGTGAGCCACAACTACTGAGCCCGCGAGCCACAACTACTGAGCCCGCGAGCCACCAACTACTGAGCCCGCACGCCTAGAGCCTGTGCTCCACAACAAGAGAAGCCACCGCAATGAGAAGCCTGCGCACCGCAATGAAGAGTAGCCCCTGCTCGCCGCAACTAGAGAAAGCCCGTGTGCAGCAAAAAAGATCCAACTCAGCCAAAAATAAATAAATAAATTTATTTTAAAAATTTTAAAAAAAATAAAAAAGATTGTAAAGAGTAAAAGAGATGGGTAAAGTACTTAATGTGCTTAGTGGAATATCTTGCGTTTAATGCGTGTTCAGTAACTGGGAGCAATAAGATCTTTGAAATTGACATTTTTTTGTGTGAGATGCAAATACATATTTAATTTATTAATGGGTTAAAATGGTTATAAAATCAACAATCATCTCTGAGAAAATACATATACAAAATACATGATTTATTAACTGTGTGCCTGAAGGTAAATGATATTCTGTCTTTAGCTATAATACAAACTATCTAATTTTAAACCTCCGTACATGAAATTGGAGGTTGTAGGGGAACAGTAATACAAAACATATCCCTTGCAGAACTTCCACAGGGCTACCCTTTGCTTTAACCTGACTTTTCCATCCCCAGTCCCAGCATGAATTCTACTACCATCTTCAATGATTGATGGGTATGGGCCACACACAGAAGTCTTTCCAACTTTCTATCACCCTGGGTTACTAAGTAACCTTGTGAGGTTAACCAAGTAGAGCTATAGAGCCTTTTTAGAATTATGAATGATCTCCACACCTGAAGGAAATAATAGTTCATTGAAAAAATAACTTCAGGAGAAAAAAAGAGGCTCGTTCAATATTTTAGCATTCAGCTTAAAAAATGGCAACAGAGAGAAAAGTCTGAAAAGATAGTTTTAAAAATATTTTTCAACCATTAACTTTCCCATTGCTATCAAGGGGCCGTATGTGAGTGAATAACTAAATATACTCACTAGGAGTGGGAATTTAGGTAAAACACAAATAGATGAAAGCATCCTTAAGAAATGCTAAGGTGCTCTGTCTTTTAGTTATTACTTTCCCTGTGAATTATCTGCTACATTTTCAAGCACAAAGCACAGTTAAGGTGCATCTCTGACTGACAATATGTAAGACAGAATCAAATCCCTGATCTGAAGGGCACACGTGTGTGGGCAGAAAGAACGAGCTCTAGAAGGTTAAACACAGATTGTAAATGACCGCCTACAAAGTGGCACAGGCAAATAAAGATGATAAAAGCAGAGTTGCCAGATGGGTCTGCAGGTGGACCTGCACTCCTGAAGCCAGAGTAGCCTTGAGGGGTCAGTAAAGCATAATGTGAAAAACCCTCATCTAAAGTTAAAAAACAAAAAGCATTTTGGAAACAAGGGATAATTAATATCCAGCATCCCAGCATCAGTGGAAATCATGGCAGGTGGGTGGGGATAGAGTTCATGGCAAAAGTATGGTGTGTAGAATATGCCTCTGTGTGTGTGTGTGTGTGTGTGTGTGTGTGTGTGTGTGTGTGTAGGCTTTTGAATTTCATGGACCAGTAAAATTTCAAATAATCATTTTGGAAACAAACACAGGGTTATCAACTTTTTATTTTGCCAACATTTTCCTAGATTCCTACCTTAGTTGATACAATGAAAGCTCTTTCACCACATGAAAATTCTATCAGCCTAGATGTCTATATAACACACGGTACCAAAAATAATATAATTACCTGGGGTGCTAATATTTTTCATCACCATGCCAAATATTTTGTGTTGATTATATTACTGTTTAAAATGACTAATATACCTACTTTTCTCTATTTTATGCTTACATGAAATTGAATGTGAGCTTGGAGATGAAAAAAGGTTTACTCATTTGCTTTTGATTCTTTTTTTAAAAAAAATTTATTTTATATTGGAGTATAGTTGATTTATAATGTGTTAGTTTCAGGTGTACAGCAAAGTGATTCAGTTATACATACACATATATCCAAACTTTTTCAGATTCTTTTCCCATATAGAGTTCCCTATGCTATTCAGTAGGTCCTTGTTGATTTTATTTAAAAGGGTAAGGCAGCAGAAAAGGATTAGTATTTAACACCTTACTGTTGGGAAGAAAAGTCACAACATTTATCTTTTATGTAGCGCTCTTATGTAGTGTTAGGGTTTTTGAAATTTTAGTGACCTACCAGAGCATTCAAATGCAACAAACAGATAGTAGATTACACTTCAATGTCTAATAGATCACTGAACAGTTTTTTGTTTACTTAGTATTAAAGTAGCCTTCATAAATTTATATTTCAGCACAGC